TCTTCTTCTTCTTCTTCTTCTTCTTCTTCTTCTTTTGGTTGTGGAACCAGGGTTTGAACTCAGGCCCTTGAGCTTCCAGGGAAGCACTTATTCCACTGAGCGAGCCATCTCCCCAGCCCCTAGCCCTCTTCCCTTCTTATACACCCTAGAGTTTACTACCTTGACCTCAAATTCCTTTGTTTCTGGTTTCAGCTCAAAAAGAGACAGCTTCTGAGAAATGCTAAGTAAGTACAAGTGGGCCTAGTCTCAGTCACCACAAGAATCCCCACCCCTAGGTCTTTGCTCACATTCTCCTCTATTTGTCTTAGTCTCCCTTGCTTCCTAGCTATTTGCATCCCTCAATCCTTTCTCAATGTTGTCTTTCCACTTACACTGGTGATGTCCTGACCTTCTGAATTTCTATCCCTTATTATAGAAATATCATTTATGAGGTACAGAGGATAATGACATTTCATGTGAATATTTATTACATTTGCCCAACAGACTTAATTCTGAAGATCTTATACTAAAGGGTCTTTAGGCATAATCTGTTCAGACCTTCACCAGTGTACACCTACACAGCTTCTCCATAAGTACCTATGTTTCTGGCTACCACGAACAGACCCAAGTCTGTCATACCATAAGATGAAGTAGCATAAAAAGGAACTTGAAAATAGAGACCCATCATGACAAAAACATGTATTTTTTTGAAATTATAAAATGAATTTATTCATAAATGCAAAAATGGTTGTGACAAAATCAGTAGAAAAACAAATTCCATACCATGGGACATAGCTACTGTGCAAAAAATTATTTGATTATTGGATTTCTACAAGTAACTGAGTTGTCACAGAGAGCAAGTATTAGATAAGCAAGTGTTCCCGATGCCTATTATTTGATTTTGTGCCCATTTCAGAATTTCTCACTAGCTCTCCCATCAGCTTTCTCTACTCTTCCTATCCTCATTATTTCAAGGAGAGATTATTTTTTATGGCATTATAATTTTTCCCCATAATTTTATTGATAAACAAATAGCAATGAGACAGTTTCAAATCAAATTGGTAGGACAGTTTCAATAATTCACACATTGCATACATTCTTCCTAGTGGTTAATTGCTGTACAAGATGCGGACATGATATCCTATTTACAAACACTATTAGAATAAATCCCTCTATTCATTAAGAGAATATAACTATATATCTATCCTAACCACTTTGAATACACAGATACAAAATGGACGTTCATCTGTATACCCTTTTTTTTGTTAAATTCCGTTATTTGAATATTATAGGTGTGTAAACTCAGCAAAATATTCTAAAAGAGTCCAGTATCCCATAATAGTATTGGGTCTTCCGCTTCACTGGCAATGTCAGAAATTGTTGACCTGAGTCCCCTATAGCTCAACATAACAGCATGGCTTTACTTCTTATATTTAGTTTTTATACTTTTCTTCTGGATGGTTAAGACCAAGGTAAAGCAGGACCTATGCAACCAGAGTTGTAGCTTTTGGGTCTGATAAGGTCAGTGAAATCCCCTCAGGATTTATCCTGAGATCCTGTACCTCAGATTGTAGATCTTTTGCCAGTGTCAGCCATGTGGATGAGTCACGGCCATTACTTGACCAATGTGCTCTCTGTGAAAGCCTGAGAGAATGTTTTCTCTCCATGTGACTCTCCTTAGGCACACTCTACATCATCGATCACTTTCCTCTTTGGCCCCATAATCTCCTTGATCAGAAAGTTTGGGACACTACTGAGTTACATGACTTTACAGTACAGGTATTTATCCCATCCTTTCACTCTTCCTTCCTCAATAAGGGCTTTGTGTTAGGATGGTTTGTCTCAGCACTGAACATGTCTACAGTTCTTCCAGGAGTCACAGTCATTTAAAAAGTTCAGAAAATGTATTGAGTCATTTTTCTCATACATATTTTTTAATAATAGGAAATCTTTCCTATGTTTTCCCAGTGGTCATCTCTTTAGATGTTACCGAGCCAAGTCCAAACTTTTACCTCTGTCAATTGCAGGCAAAGAGAAGGTGATTATCTTAGAATAATCATCTAGGATAGACTAGATATTGGGCATCAGTCAATATGAGCCCTATGTGTCAAGGGGTTTTGTTTCCTACTTATCATACTTTCTTTAAACCAAATTCAAAAGATTTTAAAAGCTTATTTGATATTGTATTGAGAATAAAAACTTTCATTAGCAAGGTATTGCAAAAGAAGCCAATGCCTTTGAGAACATATACTTTTTCTTTTAAAAAATTTAAGAAACTCACCACAAGTTTTCCTATCACCATGATCAACACGAAGACAATAACACAGAGTGGTATATTAACTTCTTGCATACATTCCCACATGTTTTCAATCCATTCCCCACAGAGGATGCGGAATACCACCAGGAAGGAATGGTAGACATCCCCCATGTGCCAGCGCCGAAGACAGAGGTTATGACTTGCGTTACAGGAGTTTTGACTTCTTCTGGAACAGAATTTATTGCCGAAAAGCTGCATGCCAACTACTGAGAAAATGAAGAGCACAACGCCTAGGACCACAGTCAGGTTTCCAAGGGCTCCAACAGAGTGGCCAATTATCTTAATTAATGTGTTTAAGGTTGGCCAAGACTTGGCTAATTTGAAGATCCTCAGCTGAAAAAAAAGACAAAACAAACATGAAAAAGAAGCCCATTAAGAACAAACTCTACCTGCTCATCTATAAAACAAATTATATAATCCTAAGCCACAGCACTTAAAACTCTTCTCAAGATCCAATCCATCCTGAACATAGTCACCATATGTCTCAATCTAATATTCACTTGTGTCTACTTTTTAATTTAAACATGAAAATATTTTGTTGTAATTTTTAACGAGAAAAGTGTTCAGGATGGTGATTGAGAGTATGTGTCAATTACCCAAAATAAGTGTTTTATCCTTCTATGTCATATACTAGACACCCACAAACTCAGGGCCACAGGCCAAATTCAGCCCATTGTCTGGTTTTGTGTATTATGAAAATCCTTTTACATTTTTAAATAATGAAAATTAATCAAAAGAAAGACATTTCATGACACATAGAAATCATGAAGTTTGCAATTGAAGAATTAATAAAGTTTTATTGCTAAATACATTTTTATTTTTTATTAGTTTTATTGAGAAACAGTAATGAGACAGTTTCAAAACTGATTAATAGGACAGTTTCAATAATTAATATGTTGCATATTGTTATCTTCTTAGTGGTTATTCATAGTATAAGATGCAGACATGATATCCTGCCCAAATACTATTAGTACAAATCATTTTTCTCATTGAATTAAGAGAAAGTAGCTGTACATCTATCCTATTTTGTATATACGGATACAAAATGGTCCTTCATTTGTATCCCTTTTGTTTAGTTTTGTTAAAGACGGGTATTCCATTGCCATTTAAATATTGTAGATGCATGAATTCAGGAAATAATCCAATATAGTCCAGCAGTCCATAATAGTAGTGGGTTATCTGTAGGACTGGCAATGTCAGAAGTTGTTGACTTGAGCCTCTCACAGCTCAGCACATTAATGTGGCTTGATTTTTTATACCTCGTTTTTATACTTTTCTGCTGGATGGTTAAGACCAAAATAAAGCAAGACCTATATAACAAGATATATATCTGATAAGGACAGTCAAGTCCACTCAGGATTTATCCTGTTACCCTGTACCACAGTTTGTAGATCCTTTGTCAGTGTCAACCATGTGGAACCATGTGGATGAGTCATGGCCATTGCTTGACCAATTTGCTCTCTGTGAAAACCTGAGAGAATGTTTTCTCTCCATGTGACTCTCCTTGGGCGCACTCTACATCATCGATCACATTGCTCTGAGGCCTCATAATCTCCTTGATCAGAAAATTTGAGAGGAGTGAGACGACCCAGGCCGCGGGGTCCTGAACAGACCCGGAGCGCAGGCCCGGCGAGTGAGTGAGACGACCCAGGCCGCGGGATCCTGGAAAGACCC